CAGTTAATATTATTTCCTTCTTGGGTCTCTGAGGTAAAGACTAGATAGTTATAGTTTCCCTTGTTTATGAGGCACAGAAAAGAAATTCACTAAAGAAATGTAAAGTATGTAAGGTTGAAAGATATCAAAAGATAGGTTTGGATGGTAATGCGAGTTATGATAGAAAGTAAATTAGGTACAAAACTTTGGACTCACCACGATAGGACAGATATAGAGTATTTCTCTGAATTTGTCAAATGCAAATGGACTATACATTGTTGCTATATTCATTGCTTGTATAGATTATGTAGTTATTGTGCTTATTGTATAGTTTTTCTTGTATTAGTTATAGCCTTCCTTTTTGTTTTAGACAAAAAGGGGAAATGTAGCAGAATTTCATTTGTATTTTAATAAATAAAGCTTGCCTGAAGATTAGGGAGTAAAAAGCCCCACTGATCAGTCTTACAGCAGGCAATGGTAACACATACCTTTAATTGCAGTAGCCACATTAGATGCCATAGAAACTGGGTGATCCATGGTTTTTATCCCAGTGGTGCACGCCTTTAATCCTAGAGAGGATTAAAAAACAGGAGGAGACAGTCTCTCAGGCACAGTTTCATTCTGAGATTCCTGGAGGCAGGATTGCCATTCCAAACTGAGGTTGAGGTAAGAGCCAGTGGCTGGCTATTTTGCTTTTTAGATCTTCAGGTGGAACCCAAATTTCTTTCTCTGAGTATTTAACTAATCATGTTTCAGGATCAAAATCCTATAACACTTCCTCCTTTTATCTAAATAAGAAGGTTTTTATCCTAACATAAAACAATCTACAATAACAGCAACTACCAAGCATTGTGTAGAAGAAAGGTGATAATATAAGCAAAGATGAAACCAAAACCAAGAACAACATAAGCAAGAAACACATTCCAAATATCCAGGCCTTAATAATTAGCAAAAAACAGATGTCCTATCCTGGAGAGTCTAAGTCTTATGCCCTAGCTAAAATATGAGAGGATTGTGACTGTAACTATCTAATCTTCAACCCCATCAAAAACCTGAGAAGGAAAATAATATCATCTAAGAAAGAAAATAATATTACTTGAGCAAGCAAGAATTGCAAGCAAGCAACTTCTAATAGATGCAAGAACTGACAAAAACAGCTAGATGTCTGGTCAGTCAACCAATGTCTTTCTTCAATGTTATGGCAAGGACTTAGAATATCTAACAGGCCATTTTCAGAAGCAGGAAAATTAGAAAGACTGACCTACCCTGACTTGGCAAGGTTCAGTAGTCAGGTTTCCTTGTGTCCTGCTTGACTGGTTTGAAAAGCATGCTTACTGTCAGCAGTCAAGGCAAGGGCAGTTCTTTGCCCAATAGGCCAGTTTTGCCAAGAAGTAGAAAAGCTCCACATGGAGTGTCTTTGGTGCCCAGCATACTCTTGGAAATAGATTGGTGCTTCCAAAAGCAGTAGTGTCTCACATCAACGGAATTTTAAGTTATTAAAACATTTAAATGTCATATTTTGTAGTTCTTTGAAATGTTTGAAGATTACCTATCTATATGGAATATATCCTTGTACATCTAGAAAACATAATATAAGTACTACAAACATGAGTGACCACTAACCTGTAATTCTTAATACCCTATATAGCTTAAAGACATAAGCTTTACATTGTAAAAATAAAGATGAATATCATAAGGACAATGATCTCAAATTTGTGACAATATATAGAAATATCTATATCAGAAGTAGAAATGTATAGTACAATATGACAAAAATCCCTTAATTTGCATCAATATTCAAAATATCTTAAAAAGAAGTAGAAACATAATACAATATGACAGAAACAATTTTACATTTGTATCAAAATACAAAAATATTGTAAACAGAAGTAAGAATATATACAATATGACAAATATAATTATAAATTTGTATCAGTATATAATCTTAGACGATCATGCAAATGTAATTTTACAGAAGGGAAAGAAACCAGTTTTCACAATAAATCCAGATTCCAGCTAAGCTGTTATGAACTAATTCATCTTTGTATATTTTTAGATTTGTTCTAATAGAATTTCATGTGCTTTGAGTTAAATGAGGAACAATTGTGGAAGGACTGCTGAGGGATCTAATGGATTGTTTTAGTATATCTATTCTCTTTTCTTCTAGGATTCAAATCAATTCATGACTCCATCAGCTCTCTCCAACAAATACAGAAAACAAAAATGGATTTAGAGAAATATAAAGTACAGAAAGACCTGAAGAAATTACAGCGTAAAATTGTGGAACTCCAGGAAGTATAACTTTGAAGTTACTTTCTTTTTCACTAGCTAGTTGTGAAGAAGAAAATTAAGATCTTTAGGATATTGATTTCTTCTAGTGTTTCTTATCACCTCCTAAAGAAACTGATATACCAGGAAAAAGGCACAATAAATCAAAAAGCTTCATGATGTCTTTAATTTATTAATGAAATATTAAGTAATGTCTTTACATGCACATTGTTAAATTTTTATTTGCCCACAAATAAGGGAGAAGGTATCTATACCTAAGTTCATCTTTGTGGCAGAGCAGTGATGAACTAGACTACTGACTGCCAGAAAATAGCAGCCAGTGTGTGGTTATAGTCTGTTGTGCATTACAGCAAACTATATCTCCTTTTCAAAAGAAACATTTCTATTTTTTAGCACTAGCATTTGAGATCCAAATACTTTACACATTTACAATCAAATTACTTCATAAACTATAAGGGAAACATCTGTGGAATGTATACATCAGAAGGCTAATTTACAACTTCTGACCCAGAAAATGCTCTTTTCTAAGAAAATCAATGTCTATAGGAAGTCTAATTTATACATATTTAAAATATATTGTTATTGTACTCAGTATGTGTCAGAATTGTAAGTACTAACCCCTAAAAAACAAAATAATATACTAGCTTCCACTAAAAATATTCCACAACATTAGGCTATATGGTAAATTCAGAAGTACCTCAAAAGCATTGATTTCTTTTTTTTTTTTTTTTAAAGCATTGATTTCCTATCAACTCAAAACACAGTTTACGTGCAGAGCTGTTATGGTTTCATATCTGTTCCTGTGATAAAACATCCTAACCAAAAAGCAGCTTTAGGGGAGAGAATGGTCTCTTTGGCTTACAGCTCAGTGCAGAGAAACTGAGCAGCAAGGGTTTGAAGCAGTCATCCCAGCACACAGTTAGGGACGGAGAGAAATGAACGCACAAACCTTTCACATGCTTTCTTGTGTTCATCTGTCTCCACTCCTCCACAGTTTAGGACCCCCACCTAGAGTACCACTTGCTAGGCATCGTCTTCCTGCACCAATTAACTTAAAACAGTTCCCTACAGATATGTCCACGGGCCAACTGCACTGTAGATCTCTCACTGGGGCGCCCTTTCTGGGCAAGTCTAGGTTGTGTCAAGTTAATATTAAAGTTAATCATTACAAGAACCATTGGTATAAAGCATTTATATTTATGAAAAATAAAAGCAAAATATTTGTGGCATACACTATTTGTGCTGGAATAAGAACTAATTTCTATTCACAGAGAATTTTGTAAACCTGACAAGGGACCTCATTAGCAGATTTAGGAACTTTCTTGGGTTTCCAGAACAATAACAGTTTCTCCCATAATAAAGAACAAGTTTACCTCACAAATATTTTACCTATACCCACTTCTCTAATTTTTTAACCATGTAAAGCATCTCCATTTATTGTTATCAGTATATACACAGTATTTATACAGTATATACTGTAATTGGAGGGAATTTCATAGTAGATTTAAGAGTTCAAAACATGAAAGTCTCCTTTGTAATCAAATATCATGCTAGTATCAAGATCTGATAAAAATGTTACAAATGTTTGTAAATCATCTAAAAATACATTCAAAATTTTATTTTCAAAATGGTCACAAGATATGGACAGGTAGCAGAATATAATAACCAGTGGAAGTATAAAAATGTTTAACTTTAATATTAAAGAAAAATCAAAGGAGCTATTTATACTTGATAATATTGCATGGACAAGAGAGACAAAGCAAAAGTTCTCAGTAAGTACTAGTAAGCCTATAAACTAGTACAGTGACTTAGAGGGCAATTGGGAAGCATCTATTAAATGTTCTCTTCCTTTCCTCTCCTCTCTTCAAGTCCCGACTCTATCATGCACATACCCTTCAGACCTACAATTCCAAACCATAAGTTCACATTATAGACAAACGATCCCAAAGACCTTCTAAACACACATCCAGGACTCGCGCCCAGAGCTTCTGAAGCTGAAGAACCTGTGAAGGGCATACAACATCTAATCTCTGTTTAGGAGACAGCAGAGCACTGGACCTCTCTCCCCTTGCATTATTCCACTTAAGTTCACCCAGGAATCTTACCCGCTTGAATAAGCGCTTTTTATGAGAGGCCAAGACAGAGGCATGGCATGTACTCCATGTTGAATGTGTTTGCTTAATCATTTAGGAAATGTTGGGCTCCTCTCCCCCAAATGCAGGCTAATGTTGGAGCACTGTAACTCTGCAATCATACACAGAACATATGATAAAGTGGCTCGTATGCTTTTATATACACAGTCTTGGATAGTGTAAGGGTACTAGTGTCTTCCAGAATTTACTCTCCTTTATTAGAGCCTGCTCCTGGAAAAATCTCTCAACATTAGTAGTAGCAGTGACTAAAGCGGGGGTGGGGACTACATCAAATGAAAAGGTTTGCAAAGATCAAAACATGAGAGGACAGTGTGGGGCCACAGAGATGACTCAGTGGATGAAAACATTTGCTGCGTTGTGATCCCAGCACCCACATAAAAAGTTGGCATGTCCACATCTGCCCTTGCAGTGGGCTGAGACAGGAGGATCTCTGGAGTTTATTGACACTGGTATAACCCCAGGTTCCATGAAAGACCCTGTCTCAAGGGAATGAGAAGAGCAACAGAAAGGATACTTAGATGTGTGTATAAGCACATGCATGCGTGTACACACACACACACACACACACACACACACACACAGCACTGCAGAATATGGAAACATGGCTGTCCTTTGACATCAGCAGGTATGATGATCCATGCATATTGAACTCTCATGTAAAATCATGCAGCATTTGCTGAAACCTGTATATTTTATTTGTTCCAGTGTTGGAGTGACTCCAAGGTTTCATGTATACTATACATATACTCTACAATCCAGCCACATGCCTTGCCATACATGTTCTTTAAAACCTCACTAGATTACTTATATCTAATGCAATGTCAGTCTTACATAGTTTTGCTAAACCAGTTTTGTTGTTGTTGTTCAATACAGGTTCAACTTTTAAAACGTTTTTTACCTATGATGGAATCCACAGATGAGTAACCTGCAGATACGGAGGGCAGAATTTATGTTTAAACCATATATTTGATAGGAGGCTAATATCTGATCTTATGACAATAAGAGTCTATAGAAAAGGCCAATAATTACATTTGCAAATACATGGGCAAAGCTATGATGAATGTTAAAGCGAGGGGAGTAGAGGGGAGATAGGTCTGGAAGGCAAGAAATTCAATATAGTCAGAGCCTAACATGTGTCCTGGAAGACAGGGAAAGGAGGAAAATGCAGGGAATGGGGGGAGAGGCTACAAGCTGGACAATGTAGGGATATGGGGGGACCAACCACAAAAGTCTTGTAATTCATGTTGAGAAAACAGGCTTTATACTAAGGACTCCAGATAGGCCCCAAGCAATTTAAATAGAAGAGTAACTAACCTTACTAGATTCGTCCTTGATATTGCTTCGCCTGGTGTATGTGGAACAGACAGGGTGGAAGAAGCACAATTGAGCTGAGAAAAAGGGAACTCATGCAGCCGGGCAGGGATTGTGCACCCAAGTTATCTGGGGACAGTCAAATCGTGTCCAGTGATTAATGAGAAAAGTGGCACCTCTGGATAAAATCTAGATGGAAATTAGCTTTTTGGAAGTCATCAGCAAAGAAAAGGCTACTGGAGTTATGAGTGGAGAAGACTTGCCTGGGAGTGGGTACCATGGGAGTGTGAATACTGTGAAGAACCAGGTGCTGAAGGAACAGCCCACAGAAGATAATCGATGATATAGCAGAAGAGGTGGCGTTCATAAGAGGCAGTGTCATCTTCGAGGGTTGTGGTGACTCATTAGCATTCTACTAGCGCTGCTTCAAGAATTGTTAGATTCTGCCTACCAAAGATGGCCGGTCCTCCAGTGTAAACAAGTACAGAAAGACTGAAATGCTTTCTTTATTGCTCCTCTATTTCATACATAAATACATTGCCCTTTCAAACACAGAGGGTGATGAGTTCCCCTTTCTTTGGAGGACCCTGCTTTTCTCTTCAGGTTCCTTTCTAGAACACAGATTGTGCCAAATTGTTATGGTACGTTCTTAATACAGCTTGTTAGAACAACTAATGTGTGCACATGTGTGCACACGCACACACACACACCACTCTTCCACATTTATTTGAATTACAGCAATGAAGAGAAACAGACATCATCAGCAATGATCATTTAGGTACATTCTACTTGCCTAAAAGTACAAATTCAGGAATGAGTTTTTCCGATCCTTGTAATTTTCCCCTAAAGTGGGGAAACTTACTGCACAAAGTTGTGAGATTGAATGAATGCATTGGCACACAGTAGGTATTCAGTCTGTCTCTCTGTGTGAGTTCTTGGGTACTGAAGGCCTGGTGGAAAACGGCTATTACAGAAAGTACATGAGCATGAACATCATGGCTGATGCAAATGTTTGGCTGCTGTCATGTCAAGATACTGGATGTTAATTTGGGTTTCCCTACAAGCTACTTGACTGGAACAAAAGCTTATTACTATTTTTTAATATTTACATATTATTCAGCATTTCTAGTTCTTGTTGTGAACTAGTGTCCAGAAAGCTTGCTCTAGAAAAGCCTTAAAATCACAAGCTCAGCACAGGAGCCTCACGAGATTCAGAAGTGTATTTACCTCCATCTTACAGAAGCTTCTTATTGTTAAGTCTAAAGCAGTCCCCCGAAAGGGACCACAAAAATGGCAGCCCACAGATGGATGGCTAGCCAGTTAAAAAAAAAAAAAGAAATAATGTAACTCAGCATTCCTCAGAACCTTCTGAAGCAGGTTTTATATCATAAAAAAAAGCCATGAATTCCTTATCCAGATGCCCATGCAGCCAACTCCAGCAAGGGCCTCTGGTTTCCAATGAACTCAAAGAAGACTGTAATGGGTCAAAGCCCTGGTGCTAGTTCCTAGGTTATTCTGGTTTGCACCCCACTTCTGATACTCCCAGGTTGTTCTGGCTCACAGGCCTCCCCCACCACTACCTGTCCACTTAAAGCTGGCCAGGCTCTCCCTCCATTTGCTGTTCTCTGGTGCTGAGAGATAATCTGGCAGTTTGGATCTACAACAAGCCTTTCTTTCTACCCTCAGAGTGATCCAGTTTGGTGGCTTCATTGCACCTTGCATATATACATCAGTGTAAATTTCTATCTCAACCAATATTTTTATTTCTCTGTAACTTCCTCTTCTTTCTCCATGAAAACCCATCTGTTCCATCTAGCTTCTTCCTTGTGTCCAGACATATTTGTGTCACAAACATAAGAGAAATCAACACTTTCAGAGATGTCCACACTCAGGAAAACATGTCTTTTACCCTGTACCCACCTGCCATCTTCCTAATTTCCCAACCTCTGAGCTATGTGTTTACAAAAGCTGTCTCTACTTTTACTTTCTAAGAGCATTAAACAGTGCAGATCAATCTTTTACACTAGTTTATTGAGGTTTTTCCAAAAAAGTTACAACTGCCTAAAAAATTATAAGCATTTTTTCTATATAGAGATTAAACAATGAGCATACTTTGCATGAACAAAGGGAGGGAATGACATTAAAAAGGCAGGGGCGTAGAGATTTGTGTTATTTAAGATTTACAAAACAATGCAAATTTAATGTGTGTGGCCTTATAAAAAGCACAGCCTGTTTGGCGCATTGCAGGAGCAAGCCAATTCAACCACTCACAGATGGTGGCTTCCCATGTGCATCTTCTGTAAGCACTGCTTTCCTTCCTCCTCTCAGATCTAAGACCATTCCCTACCTCTCTTTACCATGTGAGCCTATTGCAAGGGCTTCTATCCTAAGTACAGGGGTTGCAGCAACAGTTCGTTCTAGTACTTTGTTTCGTTCATTTCTGGTTCGAAAAACTTTGGTGACCTCACTAGAGCATCAGAACATCACTATTAGCTATCTAGCTAAGACTCTGAATTTATCAATTTATAGACAATTCAAAGACCAAAAGACAATATTTAAAGTCACAAATCTAGTTCATACTTAAAACACTCTTTAAAATATTTCATACATGCAATGTGTTTTGATCATATTCTCCTCCCAGCTTCCCCTAATTCCTCCCAGTTACACGCTCCCCTCCCCTCCCCAGAAACCATCAGCAGTCAACAGCACCTGAGCTAGGGGTGGAGTTTGGGAGCCTCTACCTGCTCCTGGCTGGACTGCTGACTGAAGGCTGCTGTGAGCTTCTGGGTGCAGGCATGCTGTCATTTCCAGCACGAGCTATTGCTCAGGTCGTCTCCAACCTCCAGTTTATAATCTTTCAGCTCTCTCTCCCAAAATAGTCCCTGATCCTCGGGGAAGGAGTGTGATGTGGCTGAGCACTCCAGACACGTGTACTCTCTATTTAGACCAGTTGTGAGTTCCTGCATTAATCCTGTCCACTGAAACTTCTCTGGTAAGGTCTGAGATCTGCACTGATCTATAGGTACAGAAATAAGAATTTAGAGGACAGTTGGCATTGTTCATTTAGCAAAATACTAGTAGTAGGTTCATTCTTTTGGTTTCAATCTACGGGCTAACTCTTGGCCAAATTTACAACACCTCCTGGTCTTAAATCCAATCAGAAAGCAGTTGGTTACCACCATATTTGTGGTTATACTGCAGCCATGGCTGTATCTTACCATACCTGCCATTTGATGTCACAGGGTCACAGCCGGGCAGGACCACTGACCCTTTCCCCTGGGCAGCCTACCTAGTACCTTCCAGTTAGAGGCCATTCTGGTCTACAAATTGAGTTCCAGGACAGCCAGAGCTGTTATACAGAGAAACCCTGTCTTGAAAAACCATATATATATGTATAATTATAGGGTTAGAGAGATGGCTCAGTGGTTAAGAGCACTGACTGTTCTTCCAAAGATGCCAAGTTCAATTCCCAGCAACCACATGATCTATAATGAGATCTGGTGCCCTCTTCTGGCCTGCAAGCATATATGCAGGCAGAACACTATATACATAATAAATCTTAAAAAAGAAAAGAAAAAGTAGCCAGGAAACCTCCTTGAATTTTCCATATCCTTTGAAGGTGTGAAATCTTCACCAATAGCATCTCGCCATCTAGTTCTGGTGAGCAGCCAAGAACAATGGCAATAGTTTGCATTGTTTAGGGAGTATCCAGGGCCCTTTGACTAACAGTGATGAACAACTTGGGGGATTTTCACCCTGGTAGCAGCTAGGATCAGTATCACCTGCCTAGCGTAACTCCATTCAAATTTCTTTATATGAATGTGTGTGTGTGTGTGTGTCTGAGAAGCTTTATGAAAATACTGTGTGTGCATAGTGATGTGTGTATGTGCTGTAGGAATTTCTATGCACGTAGCCTTTAAGTTACCCGCCCACTTGGGCGTGGCCTCATACTATTTATGATGATGTAAAGTGCACATCCAGCCTCTTTTCCTGTTGCTGGATTTGGTTGTTGTTCCCTGTTCCAGCAGAGGATTGTGGTCTGTGAGTCTACCCCTAAATAAATAACCCTCTATTATACTCAATTCTGCTAGTGTGGGATTTCTTTTAAGCATCCTTCCTCATGGATGTGGGTACACATGCTGTAGTGTGCCTGTGGAGGCCAGAGGACAACTCTGAGGAGTTGGTTTTTCCAGTCAACACAAGTTTTACAAATAGAATTCAGGATGACCTTGATCTGCTAAGTCATCCCACCAGTCTGGAACATATATCTTTGGTATGTGAGTATAATTTAATGCATTTAACAAGAGAATTAGATAGAAATACTTATTGATGAGATTTTATGAAAAAGGTATTTTATTTGCATAATAACTTTATTTTTGAAACTATAATTACATTTTTCCCCCTTTAGCTTTCTCCAATTCTTACCATGCAACCCCTTGCTCTGTCTCAAAAACCATTGTTGGTGTCTTGCTTTGTTATTACATAAGTGTGTGTGTATGTTCCCATATAAATAAATACAATCTGTTTGGTTCATATATTGTTACATGTAGGATGTCAGGGCTGAACATCCGACAGACCTGTCTTAAGCAATGATGAAATTGATGGACATGGTAACACAGAAGAGGGAAAACTCTCAGATCTCAACTCTGTATGGGCGCCTGTGGAGGCCAGAAGAGGGTTTGGGAGCTGAAGTTACAACAGCTGTAAGCTGCCCAACAAAAGTAAGTCTTCTGGAAAGTATCAGATGCTCTTAACCCCTAAGCAACCTTCTTCGTTGCTTGTTTCTTAGTTTCATTGCTTGTTTCTTAGTTGGCCATACAAAGTAACCAATTTTATTATGGGCATTAAAAAATATTTATTCTTTGAGAATTTCATCCACAAACCCAAGGTATTTTGAACATAACCACTCACATGTCCACTCAAACTTCCTCAGTACATCCCCTTACCAACTTCATGTCTTTATTCCTTTTATAACTCACCCAAGTCCAGTTAGTGGTGACCATATACGCATCAGTGTTTCCTCAAGAAAATGACGCTCACCCAGCATCTGTTACTTCATGGCATGTTTCATACACTCTGTTTCGGTTGACCCTCCTCTTCCCAGGCCCTGCTTCCTGCTACCTGTACCCCCCTTACTGGTTGTCCCCTTTTTGGTTTCATGTCACATATATCCTGTTAGCCTTCCCTGCCTCCTTAGAACTTCCTCCCATCATGGCCACCTTCCTACCTTTATGACCCATTCCTTCACGTATACATGTATACAACTTAACATTAGGATCCATACAGGGGAGAGAACGGGTTTTGTCTTTCCATGTCTGGGCTACTTCAATTAATATACTAATTTCCTGACCTATTCGTTATCCTGAAAATTTTCTTTTTCTTTAAAGTCAAATAAAATGCCTGTATCTACACCACACATCCTGTCCTTTTACCGGCTCATGGATATCTATGCAGACTCCACCTCCTGGTGGTTATGAACAGAGGAACAATGGCTATTAACAAAATTTTCTACTTCAAATATTTTAAAGTAAAAAGTAGCATTTATGAAAGTATATAGCTATAGAGGGTATTCGGATAAACTAGAATTTGAAATATTGCTATGAAAAATTCCCTAATCAGCAATAGGAAGTTAAAAAATTACCACACAGAAACTATAGCCATGCCAGCAAGACAGCAAGAGTGGTCTCTGGGGCACGGCAGGTCTCTTGTGCCTGTTTTCTCAACTAAAAATGTAAAATGTAAAAATATATTGTACAAGATGAAATGTTCTGGCTTACTTCTCTCATATAGAGTCTATGATATATAAAATACATATTTTTAGGTATGTATGCAAAACCAGAACATCTTTGTCTATAAAGTGAGGTTCGTTATGAAACCTGGTGTTACCTTTTAGAACCAATGCCATGGGAGGAACTCAAAGAGGAGGAAGGAAGGGCTGCAAAAAAGCAAGAATAAAGTTGACAAAAACAAAACTTCCTAATTTTTCATTGTGCAAAAAACATATTTGTAATCTACACTGACTCATATCCTAAAACCTGCCTCATTTTTATGTTATTACAGTTATGTCAAAGGAGAAACCGAGCTGTGCTATGACTAGCCGCAGACAGTCATCTCAGTCTGTTTATTACCAGCAGGTAAACAAACAACTAACATTTTTAACTCTCCCAAGTTTTCCTATCCAGTCCTACTTTGTGCTGAATCCCAAATTAAAGAAAACATGTCAATTGCTCATATAGTTGCTAATATACAAAAAGAAAATAACACTTTACTTTTTTTCTGACCAAAAATAGAGGAGACACTGTAAAAACCATGACAAGTGATTCCAAGCAAATAATAGTGGTCCAGAACTAACTCAGAAGCTAAAGTGTGTTTCCTCCAAAAGATGACCATTGGGAGCTGAGTAACACTATCAGTATCTAGTTAATTAATAGTAGGTTAAGGGGGAAAAAAGACCAAAGAGAAAACACACTGTAATTCTAAAACCAAATGTGCAATGAAATACTGAGTATCAGTTCTTGGAGAAATTAATTTTAATTTAACTCAATTTTCCACAGTTTTATATTATAATGTTGACTTGTTTTGAACTGACTTTGAGAAGGTTGTTTGACATTAAAGGAGAAGTTAAAGAAAGCGGATTTTAAGTTTGGCACAGGATACCCTGCATGTATACAATCTAAATAAAAAAAAAGAGAGAGAGAGAGAGAGAGAGAGAGAGAGAGAGAGAGCTGCATTAAAGACATTCTTACCACCCCAATTTCCAGGAAACTCAGGTTTCAGGTCAGAACTGGCAAATGAATTCAAAGCAAGAACTGGCAAAAGAATCCAAAGGTTATCATTTGAATGTGGGTTGGAGCAAAGGCTAAACACACCATAAATGACCTTCAGGGCACAAATCCTAAGTAGAGGCATCTTCTTCCATTTTTCCAAGAGAAGGTTTCACTGTGGCTTTCGAACCTGTCCTAGAACTAGCTCTTGTAGACCAGGTTGCCTGGAACTCACAGAGATCCACCTGCCTCTGCCTCCCGTGCTGAAGGAAAGCATTTCCTACACCAGAAACTGGTCCCTTAATCTAAATGGGGAAGAGGGTCACCTTGGGAAGCTCATGATACCCACAGAGCAGGCGGATGGCAAGAGTCCACTCCTGCAGTGCATCTCCAGTGGCCTGTGGTCACGCTGTAGGCACTGATCCGCTTAGGAGCACGGTGTGTGTTCATCCGTACCAGTGCTAGACTGCTCCGCTCCATCTGGACCTGAGCTCTGATCCTCCCATCTAAAGGGATCTGCTTCAATAGCTGTCAGTGACTCTAGTGTTCCACCGCAGTGGGGAAATACCAGGTTACAATTCTGTCTAAGAGAAGAACCTCGAAGTACAACTTAATTAAAAGGTATTACCGATTCATATGATTTCACAAAATAATACAATGAGCCTGCTGGCTTAGCAAAAACACATACTAAATTATTCTGACACATACCTCTGTAGAGTCATCTGAAAAATTGTTGAGACAAGATCTCATTCTGCAATTTGGGCTGGTTTGGAATTCCTATGTAGGCCAGACTAATCTCAGATTCAGAGATCTGCCTGCCTCTGCCTCCCAAGTGCAGAATTAAAGGCATGCACCACCATGCCCACTGAAATACTGAAAACCACAATCCAAAGTAAGTGACATATAGGTTATTTAAATATATAAATTACTTTTGAAAAAAAATGGGTAATTCTGCTTTTAAATTTTTAAACACAAAACTTAAAAACTATGTCTCATATTGATAATATAAAAATGATTTTTGTTTTATTTCAGGTAATTCATGTTTTTTCATCATGAATGAAGAAACTGCACAAATAATAGTATCATTTTCAACAATTTTTTTCATTAATATTTGTTCTTAAATGCAAGCAGCTAACTGCACGTTCTACCCTTTACAGACATCCATTAGCAGTGCACATCTTACGGGCACTCGCGTGATACTCCTCTCTGGGTCTGAAGGGAGCCAGCTGACTGACTACTAGAGCACGTGCACACTTCAAGACTTGCTCTCATGAACTCTGGAGTTTAAAAAAGATTACAAATTTACTTTTTCATATTATTTGTAAAATGGCTACAAAGGCTTTATTGTGACAAGCAACCCTATTCTACCCATGCAAATGTAAAACAATGGTCTGTGCTGGGTGGCAGCGGCACACGCCTTTAATCTCAGCACTTGGAGGCAGAGGCAGGTGGCAGGGCAGCCTGGTCTACAGAGCAAGTTCCAGGGCAGCCAAGGCTACACAGAGAAACTCTGTCTAGGAAAGAAAAAATAAGCAAACAAACATACAAAAAACAACTAAGGAATGAGGACCATGTCAGAGATGTCATGTCTTTCAGGTTAAAAGCAGATCAAAGATTACTGGAAAGTTATACCCCTAACTTAAGAACTTCAACTTATCTAAATAAATGGAAAGAAAGGAAAAGCAAAGGATGATTAAAACTATAGGTTTTAATTTACTTGTTTTTATTTTGTCAAGATGGAATCTTACTGATTGGTGGTCTGTTACTCACCACCCACCCACCTCCGCCTCCCGAGTGCTGGGAGTAAAGGCGTGCACACCACACCCAGCAGATACAGTACAGTTTGAGAAAATGCTGTCTCGCTGCCTCCTCCTATTGTCTTCAGTTCTGACTGTAGTCCACACCACGATTACTGTGATGACAGCTTCTCATTCAGTTCCAGTGTCCTTTTATCACTGTGGGTTTCAGCATTCTTCACCAACACCTGTGAGGTCACAGACAGAGAGGGTGACACTAACCATAGTGGTGCAGTTGTTCAGTTTTGCCATCATAAACGACTCAACTAAAGCTAACAAGTAAGCATTGTTTATTAGAAAAAAATGGCGACCCTGACTGTTATAATTACCGACTGTGCACAAAGTTAAGGCTTACACTCCTGTCACCTTAAACCCCGACCCCACCTGAGACTGCGCTATACAGGACTGTCCTGATGGCATTACTCTGCTTAGAGCCATGCACACTATCTGAGCTCTAGGCTTTGGGTTGTCACAAATTCCACCGGCTGGAAGGGGCAATTCCACCAAATGTTCAGTTGTTTTCTGCTTGCCTGGCGTCAAGTACTGGGAAGCAGTGGACTGCTCTTCTCGCAAACTAAGGAGAGAGTGTACGGCAATTCAAGGTTCTGCCTGGTGACACGGGACTCCTGCTCGGAGACTCACTGACTGCACTGCTACTGCTACAGCCGTGGCCCGGAGACTGACACACTGACTCCAGGCCCTGTGTCCTCTCAGCCTCTCAGGGCAGTGATGTGGATGGGAACAGACAGCTTCCACCTGCACAGCGAGATGCACTATGAGAGGAGCTTAACCCAGCGGGAGACACTACCTCACTACCTGTCCCCTACACCAGAAGAAAGACTACCTGGAAGGAGGAACAGTTGGGACCCTATTCACGAGAGGTTCAGAAACGCAAAGGACACCTGATAAACCTGCAAATTTTGCTACGTAAGGATTTGAATTAGCCCCTCTCAATGATAAACCTCTGTATATCTGGTAAATGACTTTTATATTTATCGTGATCACAGGTCACAGAAAAATACTACGTTTTTGACAAGTTCCTTAACATTTTACCCTTCTCTTCCACTTAAGAAAGTTCGTAAAACTACACTGATTAATAGATAAGTATGTGAGAATAACTTTTAATCTAAACTTGTCATCCATGGTTAATATGCAATCATATTATTTAAATGGCTATGAGAAGGTTTATTCTAGAGCTAAATATGAGTGACGATGCCCAGTTACTCAGATTTAGGTTACCTTAAATTCCATGTCCCAACATGGCTAACAATTTCATGCTATTTTTACAGTAACAGACCAAAGAAAGTCATAAATGAAGACACTTTTAAAATCCATTGATGGAAGTATAACTACGGAGTGGGTGAATTTGTATGTAGATGTATAAATTCTATTTAATATTATACATACAGGATGGGGGAATGTGGACACATATGTGGATGTATAAATTCTACGTACTATTATACATACAGGGTGGGTAAATATGCATACGTATGTAGATGTATAAATTCTATTTACTATTAAACATACGGGGTGGGGGAATGTGGACACGTATGTAGATGTATAAATTCTATTTACTACTATACATGCAGGGTGGGTAAATATGCATACGTATGTAGATGTATAAATTCTATTTACTATTATACATATGGGGTGGGTAAATATGCATACGTATGTAGATGTATAAATTCTATTTACTATTATACATATGGGGTGGGTAAATATGCACACGTATGTAGATGTATAAATTCTATTTACTATTATACATATGGGGTGGAGGAATGTGCATACAGATGTGGATGTCCTCCCACAGTGGGCTGCAGGATCTAAGCCAGGCCTTCACAACAAGAGTGATTACTTGATATGAAATTCTTTACAAAATAGCCCACAACTGGTCTTGATAGAGGAGTTTTAAACCACTGCTCTCCACCCTCAGTGAAACATGCCTCTGGGCATAAATGGGCAGCCCGTTTATACTGGGTTTCATGGTCTGAGTTGATGAGGACGACTGACCAGGTCTCTTCCCTAAGCAACAGGTTCCACTGAGATAGGAACTCGAATCACTGGTGTCAACCATTACACCACGGGAGCTGGTAGACAGTAATTTGGACTTTGGATTCTAAATGGTTACTCAAAGAAAACTTAGTATGGCTTCCTGTTGAATCTACACTTAACTATTTTTAAGCAAAGCATTAATACCATGGCTTTTCATGCCAAAGAATCTTAGTTTTCACTATTATAATGCCAAGGTAAGAATTCTATAACAAATGTATGTAAAACACTAACTAACCACACATTAAACCTTCAAACCAAGTAAATAACTATTTCTCTACTCTCCGCAATGCAACATTAATCGTAGTATTTTGGCCAAGAAATTTATATTCATCTGTTAAAATTTCACTAATAGCAGGGTACGTTTGAAAAGATAACTCTAGTATTTTAATGAAGTTAACAGCTTACATCAATGAGCTCCTGGTCATTTTTCGCATAGAGGTGTCTTAAGAGGTACCAACGTGCCGTTGATACAATTGAGTTGGGATAGCCAGGCTGGTACACTACTCTCTCCAAGAGTCGCCGCGTCTCTCTAGAAGAAAGACATTTACAATTATTTCAAAGTCTTTAAGTTATGATGGATTTTATATACTAATCTCACACATATATTACCTTTCTCATTCATTTGAAAATCTTATCTGATTACTTTATTATTTTATTCTGATAAGAAAAGCAATAGTTATTATTTATTAAATGTTTACTATGCACAAAGCACTAATAGACTTAGTCATACTTAATATTCATAACCTTACTACTGTTATTCTTACTGCAGACATGCAAACTGAAGCTCACTTGACATACAACGGAGAGAAGATTCTGAATTACATGAGCATCTCTGGGTGTTTCCCCTGTCATCGTTTTTCACAGTTACAGAAAAATCAGCCAAGCACGATGGGGAGGCGGAATGCTCACAAGATCCAAGGTAGCTTGGGCTACGCAGTAAGACCCTATCTCAAAATTCCAGAAAATTCATGGGAGAAAAATAATTCTTACAGAAGTACCAACTAACTAACCAACCAAACAACTAAACAACTAGTAACAGCCATGCTACATAGGAACAACAAATATTTATTATCTGATAACAGGCCACATGTGTAAAATCAAGTTTTTAGCATCTTCAAGGAGATGTACAATATGTGAATTCAACTCATAATTAAAATGATTTACAGTTATGTTCTGACTTCTTTCTCTCCTAACTTACTAACATTTATGACCCTCAAAACTCCTTAGTGGCAGAAATAACATAAAACAACTCCTTTTAGAAGTGCTAAGTAGAAGGATCATATAAATAGCAATTAGTTTGAGTAGGACTAAGGAAGTCCCACACTTGGTTACATCACAATCACAGCTTCCTCCGAGACTGTATACTCAGGGGCGAATAGTGACAATGACAGCAATGATAAGAAGTCTAGACAAATGAGAACAGCAGTGCACCAGCTCATTAGCTGTTTACAGACAGAACATTTCTCTGTGAAACTGTACGCATGCAAATACACAAAGAGCCCCCAGCTCCCTGCCAGGGAAAAATTACAAATAATGCCAGAATTGCTGGATAGCGGCAGGATCTTAATCCATCCTTCCGTCTTATTTTGTGAGGGTTGGCTTTTTGAGGAGGGCATATTTATATATATATATTGAGCTCTATTTCTATAATACCAATTCTGTATCCAGTGTCCGTATTGTTTATCCCTAAATCATTATTTCATTTAGAATTGACTTATTAGAACCATGTTACTTTTAAAAATTTTAAATACTTTCCACCCACACATATGACTTGTAAGTAATGTTCTTCATGTTTGTGATCCTCCACCCCAACCTCTAATAATATTATCAAAACTTTTGTTTTTAATTTCAATAGCCTTTGACTTTCCCAGACACAAAAACATTGTTCACAAATAGCCTTGGTTTCCAACATTTGCTAATTTTTCCAGTTTGTTAAATTAGCAAAACTTCTAGTAATATAACCTTCAGCCAGGGTCACTCTGATTTTTGTCTGCCTCTAGAACAGATACTACACTGCTGGCTCACCCTAAAATAGAAAAGAATAAAAAACCTCAAGGGCATCTTCACATGACATGCTGCCATGCCAAACTTCTCATATTTATATCTATGCATCATTTTTTGTTAAACAAACATGAAATGTTTTCTTCCTCACTGCAATACAGAATGAAATGTTCCTGGAGTAACAAGACATGAATATTACAAAGCTTACTTTACTAGTTTATCTCATTATAAATCCTCCCTTGATCATTTCCTAGGAGGTTTACAGTGAAGTAGTTGGTTCCAAGCTAATAAAAAAGAGATTTCTTATACCTTGCTCCCATCTTACGGTTGAACTGTAACAAAGCTTGCAAGAAGACAGCCAGCGGAGAGAAGCAGACTTTCAAGGCCTCACTTGTGGCTTCTTGAAGCAAGGACGACCAGTGATCACCAGAAACATTAGCCTAG